ATGCATTTATGCAAAAAAAAAAAAAAAAAAGTTGAGGAGCTGAAACGAGTGAAATTTGTGCCACGGCGGTGTTAAACATTTCCCAGCACATGCGAATAAAAGTACAATCCTCCTCAAGATCCACCGCATAGAGGTGTCATTGTTCCTCTCCGAGCAGGGGCTTACGGGCACTGCAAAGCTATAGACCCCCCATATTTCATTTCCCCCCCGCTGATAGCATTTATCAGCAGTGACCTGATAAAAACAAAATATGCAACTTAAGCCTGAGCAGGGCTTAKCCACCGAGGTGGACAGGATTACCTGGAGGCTAGCTGGGACAGGCCTCAGATTGTGCTGTCATAAAGGGCCATTAGCCTCTTGGCAAACTGTACCTCGAGCTGGAGATGACAGAGCTTTTCAAGACAGACTGGAGGAGGAGGGGGGGATATGAAACTTAAAATCATCATGACAGACAGCCCAATGTATGAGAATTTCGAAAGAAAAGAACAAACATAAGATTCTTTATTTCCCATGTTGATCAGACATCAACGTGAAATTGATTCATTGTGGATAAATGCTGAATATACATATGAGTGYACGTATTTAGATGAAAGAAGAAGATTTCCACAGAACACACAATAGAGCAGACTCACTGACTGGACGGGATTAAATTTAATACAGGATCTTGACAGACATATCCTGGAAGCGTGCGGATTTTACCGCCATGTTTTTTTTTCTTTTTCTTGGATTTGCCTCTTTAATTATCGGGTTAAGACTCTCTTAATCCACGATGATCGCTTACTTCGATATCATTTGGCATTTTGAGCTTGTGTGTCCCCTAAACTTTTTAACACTCCACAGCTCTGACACGCACTCAGACAACTTCAGTTTCTCCGCTTTGATTGGCACCGCGGGAAGCATCTATTCCGAGGCGAGGGAAAGTGGCAATGTGAGGCATAATTGCACAGAGGTGGTTGTCTAAACAAAGTATCCACAGGTACAGTAAGTATACAGCTTTCAGAAGACAGCCAGCTGTCTGCTCGCTCGCGCTCTGACACTTTGGCTGACGTGTGGAGGAAGAAAGCTCCTCTGTTATCTTCGAGAGGCGATCTGGATTGTCTGGCGACACGCTCCCCACATCTTTCCTCTCGAACAAATCTTAACCCTCTTGGATCCATTCGCCTCTCGCTGCGCAGCGCCTCGAGGCCTCAGCGTGAGCCAAGGTTGGGGGAAAGTAGGTGGGGGGCAGGACAGACAGGAAGTTTCAGSCAGAGTCTTCCTCCTGTCTCTCGGGCTGCACTTACTGCGTCTGCCGTCTTTCCCAGAGGGCATTGTGAAAAGGGCAGAAATGTGATGCTGCTGTGCAGACGCGAGTCGTGGTGGAGTCTGTCTGCGGAGACCATCTCCCATCTATGAGTCCCCCCTTACTTCCACCCCGCCCCCCCCCTTTTTTTCTTTTTACCTGAGCAGAGACTCCAGGCGCCAGGCGCAGTGTTACCCCAGCCTCAGGTATGCCGAGCGGACGTTGCGGCCACTTCCCAGGACTTCGCCTGCACCTGAGACCGAATGACACGGGAACCAGAATGAGTAATACCTCAGGGAGGCCGGCTCGGAGCCAGACAGTGCAGCATTCATCAATTAAAATGCTCCATAACCAAAGACGGGAATGAAACTGCATTGTGTCCTATAGCTTTTAGTAAACTTGATCCCATCATTTCAGTATTCAGATCTTTTTTTAAAAAATGGAACCGGTGACACAGACTTAGCTTCTTCTCATTAATTTTAGCCACTTAAGAGCTATCATATGACACGCTTTTCATAAACTGKAGCTACTTATCATTTAGGACAATATTGGGAGCTAAAGTTAGTTCAAACTTCACTGAAATAAAGACTTTCAACTTTCTTTTGAGTTTATAATAAAATGTTTTTGACATCAGCTAGACAAAATGAGACATCAGCTTTTGGTTTTTAAAAAAGCTCAACTTACTAAGACCAAAAATCTTGCAGGATCTGAATGACTCATTGACTACCCCAAACTGTAAGTTATAATCTGTAAAATAACATTATATAGCTACTGTATGTATAGACGTGTACAGTAACAAAGCACTTTGTTACAGTACTTCAGTAATTTATTCCTTTTTTTCAGGATCTAATATTTTACCAATCTTTTTAAACAGTAACCTTTATTTTGTTACATTCAGAACATAAAAATGCCACTTTTACTTCTTTAATTTAAACGTAGCACCTCATTACACGAATATTTATTGTGAGCAGTTTTCCGACTTTTACTTAAGTACTTTTACACGTGAGACAGAGGCTTGACTCCCCATCCTCTTAACCTTAAACTGCACYGGCTCTTCTGCATCCTACCCCGTACCATTGACCCCATCCCCCMTCCCCTCCTTAGCTCCTTGTACTATATGCAAGTGTTYTTTTTTTGAGTGCATGTTTCTGTGTTTCTGTGTAAAACATAGGATTAGAGCTCTTTTTTAACTCACCTTTCCTATTGTGTGTATTCCAAGCTGCAAAAGGTAGCGCACCATAGTGCGAAAGACCATGGACATTTGTTCCCCCATGTTTGTTATGTTTGTTATGTGTGTCTTTCTCCGGATGGATGTTCTAAACTGCACTGTTTAAGGTAGCGCAACTCTGTTTGCTGCATGACCGGTTTCACCTGTTCCCCCATGTTTGTCATGTTGTGTCTTCTTGAAAGGGTGTTTCTTAACTGCCCCCTCACCCCTTCCCTGATTGTACAGCGCCTTGTGAATATATTTCAGTGAAAGGCGCTATATAAATAAAACTTTACTTACTTACTTACTTACTTTTCTTATCAATGAAATTCATTTTTAGTCATTTGCAGGTATTTTACTATTACTTAGTTATTTTTGAAGTACTTTAGTAACCTCTGGCTATGTAGCTGTAAACGTTGATTAGCTGCAGATGCCACCTTTTTAAATTTATTTAACCTTTATTTCAACAGGCAAAACATTAAGAACAGTTTCTTATTTACTATGTTGGCCTGAACTGTTGGAACAATGTTGAACAATGTTAGCCATCTTGAACTGGGTTGTCTCCAAAAGTTAATCACAGATGAACTTAAGGATACTTTATGAGTTTATTTAAAATCTATCCAGTGCTTCATGGGATATTTTGGTAACAGAACTSCATTTAAAGTATTCTGTGCGGTAACTCTACTGAAATAGTCATGTTTGTATTTTGTAGCTAAACTGTATTGCTTTGATTTACAGCAAATGCTTCTATTTAAACACTGAGGCCGTAGCTTGCGCTGCACATCTTGTTCCTCCTTCCTTTAAATGTTGTGGCGCTGTCATGTACAAAGGATGATTGCAAAATAATTTGAAAATAGAATAAGTGGGCCGAGCTTAAGTTGAGGTTTGTTCGTCTGTCAACATATGACAGCTGCAGAGCAATTTTCATTGTGGCCTGAGTGGTTTTGTGGTAAATGTGCGCTCTCATTTATCTAAAACACATCCTAAGCTGTGGCTGCACGCAGCTTCATTATTTGAGCGAGCCACATGGGTCACAATGTGCATTTGTTCCCAATGAAACATCTTTTTGCTGAAAGTTGAACGACTTGAGTGCATGTGTTTAGAAGTACAGAAGCTTTTTGTGGCGGTGTGGCACAAAGAGTGAAGTGAGACAAACAGGCAGGGAGGAATGTGTCTGTTTACTCAAATACTGTATCTGCACAAATTTTCTGAAGGTTTTCTTTAACTTTTCAGCGTCAAACTGTATTAAACTCATCCCGATCCTGCTGGCAACATCAAAAGAAAGAAACAAATGCTTTCCAGTGGCTCCAGCTGCATCYATAGTCTCCTGGGATGACACAAGAAGCTCTGAATGGTCCTGTTTCAAAGAAGTACAACCAACATGAGCTGAATTATTTTACAAGAGCTAATTTTGAAAGTAACAAAAGTTCAGTGTTTCACATTTTTATTAGAGATTTTTCAAATGTTTATTTTTAAGTAAAATGGTGTTCTGAGGCAGCTCTTTGGCATCTGTGTTTCTGTAAATAACCACAAACTATCAGAGATCTTTTGATGACTGATAAAATGCCATTCATACCTCAAACAGGRAATTGTGTAAATAGTGCAAAAATGTTGTTCTTTTCCTTAAAATGAGCTGTTTTTTTATATTTTTTTCCCAGTTGTACCACAAAAAATAAAGGTTCACATGGACCCATATTTGCTAGGAAACCAAATAAAATCCATATTTGTACTGGCAAACTCATAAATAGGAATAGTTGTATAATTTACATTCTTAAAAAATCACATATAGCTTTTGAAAAATTTCAAAGTTTGTTTAAACTTTAAAACCACTTCTGATGACGAAAAAAAGATCAGGTTGAACTGTAACACTTTTCATACAACTATTTAAACATGGTCCAAATCAGCTGGTACAGTGCAGTTTTCGAGACTTTAAGATTATGAATATAATCTGGATACTTTCGACTTAAAAATGAAAGATTTAAAATGATCTTAGTGATGCTAAAAATCTTTAAAATTTGAATTAAGCTAAAAAAAATTCATCCAATTTTTTTTAAAGTTTGTCACTGTTACTGGCATACATAAGGGTGTGTTGATTGTGTAATGTTTCGTCTTCAACTTTATTTTTCATATGGTTTTAAATTAAAGACCTCATGTTCAGATTTGCTTCTGTATGATCTTCATTTCTCTAACATGAAATGAACTGTCCATTATCATGACACAATTATTTTCATAAATCTGAGCAGATCTAAAAAGAAGCATTGATTAAAACGTTATATAAATCTAAAATTTGTAAAACTGAGCCTCTTTCTATCTGTTGACACTTAAAACAATTTAGTTATTTAATAATGAATTAAATTTATTTTAAATATTGTAACTTTCTAAAGAAATCTTACTGATTATAATGACATTTTTGTTACWTCCCACAGAACATAACTGATTCGTCCTGCGCTCTGCTGCGCAGTAACTACACGCCTGAAGCGCCTCCATTTCCCAGAATTCTTTTCGGTCACTGTGAGAGCCATTGCTTACCGAACAGTGTGACCCTGCTAAAGAGCTAACATGTCAGAGAAGAAACCSACCGTAGATTTGGGCTTACTGGAGGAGGATGATGAATTTGAAGAATTCCCAGCTGAGGGTAAATATAAGGCGTGTGATGAASAGTGTTGTTTTCTTCTTCTCCTTGTAAACCGTCACCGTATTATCGCTGCTGAGCCTGAACGGTGACTCAGCTAGGTTAGCTACATTAGCTTTAGCTAGTTTACTGAGAAAACATCTCTGTTGAAATCTAATTAAGTCATCTACGTTAACACTCGTTTGAGCTATTTGTCTTTAATGACTCGGTAAACGTGCTTGTGATGCGTAGTGTTGCCTTTTTCATATTTCACACCGAGTGTACGTTAGCTTTAGCGTGCAAGCTGTGTTCGATGACTGTAAACACAAATAGCGCCAGGCTTCATAAAAAAASTAGGTTCTGTTGCGTTGACTTGAACGTGATATGTATTTATAGCTTGTTTTGAAATTCCAGATTGGTTGGATGAAGATGAAGATGCTCATGTTTGGGAAGATAACTGGGACGACGACAACATAGATGATGATTTCTCAAATCAGCTGAGGTAATAATAACTGGTTGAAGAACAACATTATTTTAGATGTCATAGAAATTTTATTTATAACAACAAATCAACAAAGCTTTATAAACTGGAACAGACTGTTTAGCACGTTTTGTTTGTTTCGTTTTAATAGACGTGTTTTTATTTACTACACAAAATCAAATAAATTCAATTATAATGTCAGAGCACATGCAAGTATCAAATAGGGATGTCCCGATACCACTTTTTCACTTCCGATACGATACCGATATTACAACTTTGAGAAATGTCCAATACCGATATTGACCGATACCGATATTGACCCGTTACCATAACAGTACAAGTCACACACTTTTACCTATTTTGTAATGTAAAATCTTAGAAAAGTCTTGATCAAGTCAAACAGTGAAAAAGAGTAGATATGAGAAAAACTGACCCATTTATTTTTAACCAATGGATCACATACATTTTAAACTGAAGAACATTATACAATTTAATAAAATAAATTATAATACCCTGAAAAAATAACATATTAAAAACAAAATGTACTTTTAAAGTAAGGGTGTAAGAAAATATCGATACACTGAAATATCGCGATATTTCATTTCCCGATACTGTATCGATATTCTAAAGCCCTGTATCGATTTTTTATTAAGGTTTAAAATGCCAACTTTCCTGCCAGCCGTTCATTTTTATGTTGTAGTTCAGCCTCTGACCACTAGTTGGYAGCAGTGAGCCAGCCATTTGGCTCCTCTACCTCTTGAGGTAGAGGCCATTGTTAAGTGTAGGGTGACCATATTGTAAATTAATATTAAAAACTAAAAGCTGCAAAAATATATTTTCAAAGTATTTATTGTCAAATTTAGTCTAATAATTGAAATCATGGATGAAATAAGAAATATGAAACAAATAAAATAAAACACATACAAAGCAGAACACAGCTAAATGAATCAAAAGTATGTCTATGTAATATTAGAATTTTCTGAGACAATGAATTTTGGTTTTTCATTTTTTTCTACTGTAAGAGGTTTTTATTTAATAGAATATTTGGACAAAAAAATCGCAATATATCGCCTTGCTTATAGTATCGCAATGTATCGCGATATATCGTATCGTGACCCCTCTGTCATGATATGTATCATATTGCCAAATTCTTGCCAATACACAGCCCTATTTTAAAGTGTAAAATAATTCAAAATCACTCCAGTTATTTTTTTTACCATCTGTCAGCCTTGTGCTGCTTTATGGTGGGAATAACTGAAGGTGGGGACAAAACAAAAGCCCACATTATTGTCTGTTCAAAGTTAAGAGTCCACAGCTCCAATTTTACTGACTGTAACTAAAACAACGTGATCATTGCACTTAATCTTCACTCAGACAAGTGTGTAAACAGATTAAACATCACTCTAATAACAAGAGCAAAAAATAAATAGTAAGAATTATTCAGTTATTTAAATTGATAGCTACCTTTCTTACTGCTGCATTTTCTGAGCATCATGTGGAGATCAGCCTCTCGCTCCTGCAGGGAGCTGTTTTTAGCATCGCGCTCATATTCCAAAACAAAAGCTGCGCTCTCCTTTCTTCTGTCCATCGACCCAGAGCTAATCCACGGGATGTCAAAACTGTAAGCGTGCTGTCCTCGCTTCTGCCAGCTTAGAACCACCGACCGGACCAGAGAGGAGGTTCTGAAACAGCGCGGCTGTGTGCGGTCACTGGACCGAGGCAGAACCGAGCCGAACCGCAAAGCTGCTGCCAGGGCGGAGAGTAGTTGTCGCTCCGGTTTAAAACGTTCACGGTTCTGTGTTTCCCCCTCAGAAAACTTGTGCGTGACAACTTTGCACTTCGCTTCAACTCTGTTTCTGATGAAAATAGAAAGTTCTGCCGACATTCTTGCTAACTTGTTAGCGCTGCATGTTGTTATGATCACGTGAGCGCTACAAGCCGGATCGAAGCGCTGCTGGATAGAAACACTGGAGCGGAGTCAGTGAAATGCTGGAACGGACTGCTAATATCGGAGCGCTTATATCGGACATTTTTATGCAGGCCGATAAATTCGATACTCATTTTTTGGCTGATATCGGACCGATATCCGATATCGGATCAGGACACCCCTAGTGTCAAAGTTGACCAAAATGCTGTATCATAATAAGTCTAAGACATTAACAAAAAAGAAACATTACACTCATCAACAGAGAGAAATAAACAATAAGGTAGATTTAATGTAAAAAAATACTCTAAAATGATTGTTTTAAAAGATCTAACAGACCTGGGGTAACGTGATTATATAGGATGCCACCTTACACCATAAATCTTCTGCTGCGTTCCAGTWGTACCGGAACTCGAAATTCTGAAGCCGGACTGACGTCAGCTCCGAGCCGAGTTTCAAACATCGGAAAAAGCGTTTCTATTATTTTGCTCTGCAACTATAAAACTTACAGTAATAGTGCTCTACGAGGTATTTTGAGTGTACAAACAGTGTTAAAACATTTATTTTAGCTATCACTATAAAGCACTACAAGTACGTCTGACGTAATGTAAAATAAACAACACAGAACTGCTAAAAAACATAAAAGTAAAGAGTTTCATGCGCGCAGCAGCCATGTTGAAATGATGACGTAATGCATGCTCGGGCTGCTTGGGTATGGTTCGGATGCGCTGACCTCTCGACTCAAAACTACAACTTCAGGGGGCGTTCCAGTTGAAAAATAGAACTCGGAGGCTCGAAGCTACGATCTCCGAGGACAACTGGAATGCAGCATTCATTCTGTAAGAAATACACTTTCTGAAGAACACACGCTTATCAAAACAAAACGTTCAGCTAAAATAAGCCAAAGTGATGTTGAATTATTAGACCTATTGCATTTGTTCATATTTCCATAGTTTGTAAGAATATTTACTTGTCTCGTCATAAGATGTTTTTTGTATATTTGATTAAATGTTGAGTCTAAATCTATAGAGTTAAATAATATTACAAAGCAGCATTGTATCTAAGGTATAATTCTTGTTGTTTTGGGCAGATTTTTTTTGTGGCAGAACAGATGAAATTCTTAGTAAGATACTTTTCAAAACTATTGCCGGATCTATACTGCCTTTTGGATGTGGTTTTGTTGCACAAATACATGTTTTAAAAGCAAATTTGGATTTCCTTCATTTGCAGTTAGACTTTAACAACACCCTGTCTGATTGGCATTTGAAATATTTTTTGATAGTAATAAAGCCTTTGAAACTTATGGCTAAATAATTGCTTTTCTTAATTTAAAAGTTTTTTTTATTTTTTCAAAGAATTAATTCTAAGGCAACACTTAAACTTTTAAACAGTCATGAGGGCGGCTTTGTAGCAATGGTAGGGCAACTGGCGTAGGACCAGAAAGTCACAGGTTCGATTCCCTGCCATGCCCGCATGTCGTGGTGTCGTGTGTCAAATGCAGATCTTAAATCTCATCATTGTCTGGGAACATGCATCAATGACAAATAAAGTACATTTACTTTTACATTTCCACTCATGCATTGCAGTCCTTAAATGCTCTAGAGATTTTTCAATTATCTGGATTTTTTCCGCCCATCTTCCTTGCAGAAAAATGTGCAAAATGGGATGATGTGCAAATGTGGCATCAAATTTGACACATGCACTTCAAATATGTAAATGTGCACACTATTATAAGTTGCTGCTTTGTCCATTTTCTGCTGAGACTTCACCTGCTTCCTGCGGATTCATACCCAAGTGGTGTTCATATAAAACAAAAACCTCATCGGACATTCTTAACTTGTTCAAATAAATTACTCATGGGTGCGCTGATAGATGTGCCCACTCACTATCTAGTAGAAATGTTTCCACTATCATTTACATCTGTGAGCAGCAGCTCGGGTAAAGCTCAGGTTTCTGTTAATAGGAGGGAATTTCTGTTATTTTATGAGTTTGTATGCACCAACAAAATGCTCTAAAACATAAAGGTGTAAAGTGTTACATTTTAAAGAACCTAACTAGTTTGAGCTTAACAGGGTTAATGTTTGAATGACGTTGTTATAAAATCTGTAATTCTTTTAAAGTGTAAACATGCTCACACACAAATCAATAACRGCTTTCAGAGAAGTGGCAGCTGTGTTTATATGCGAGTACACTCATGACAGTAAAATGCTGTTTTATTTAGATCTATTACACTTACCATACTATTAAGTTGTTTCTTAAAGATATCATTATTGTTTAAGGGCACCGCTGCCACACATATGTATGTATAATCATTAAATCCATGGCCGCATGCATTATCTAATATTTTTTATTTTTTTTTATATTTCAATTCCATCTCTTAATGGTTCTTACAATCAATAGCAGAGGGTACTTGTGCCCCAGCCGCCCACCTGTAATCATCTCTGCTGACTTGATCTTTTTATTTTCCTTCCCCTCCCTGCAGAGCGGAGCTGGAAAAGCACGGTTACAAGATGGAGACGTCGTAGTGGATCGCAAGGCCTTCCAGTGCTCATACGCTGGATATGGACACTTATATTTCATTTTTCCTGGCTCACAATGCACCACAAGATGTTGATTAGTTTTATTTTTGTGTTTTGGTAAGAAATATTGGAAGTAAAGTATTGGAGGAGATTTCTTTTTGAGTGTTTTTTTTTCCATACATTATTAGATATCACCAGTAGGAATTAGGTGTTCTTGATTTAAACATAAATTTTGAGTATTGGTCAGGTTGAAGTGCTGACGTGAACAGATCATTTAAAGCACGTACAGTTTCCTACATGATGTTTGCGTGGGAAAGAAAGGGGATAAGACTGGAGGAAACAAAGGTGTACAGAAAGCAAATGGTGCCAACAAGGGTGTCAAAGTGTGCTTGTGTTGCATGCCACACACAAAGAGGCAGATCTTCAGCTCTGCTGCACAACAAATCCCCCTCCCCTCTGTGCGCTCTCTCTCTTCCCTCTCAGCCCCACAGTGCTGGGCTGAGTCCCTGAAGAAGAGATTATCCACTGCCGTGTTTGTCAGAGGCAGGGAGGGGGTCTCAGCATGGGGGCTGCCATGCCCGGGCCTGCCCCTACTGCCAGCCAGGCCCTTCTCTTCCGCTGTACACAGCAGGGACCCTCGCACTGAACTGGAGGCCAATTTATTCCCCCCCCAGCAAAGTGATTCCTGTCAGAGTTTTGTCGAGTCTCGGTCCCGGGGTCCTAATGAGGTGAAATGGATGCCAGTAAGGCCGAGGCTGCAATGGTCGCTTTCACCGTGAAAAAATAAAAAAATAACACTATTCAACCTGCAGAAATGAAAATCATTGAGAAACCATTTACACATGTATTATGTGTCAATTTTATTCCATACGAACAGTTATTGTAGTGTCAAATGTCAAAAAACTTTCATAAAGATTTAGGTTTTGACGAAATATGCATAAAGTGTAAAAAAACACATGATTAAGTCAGCACTCGTTATAATAAAAAGTATTAAAACATTTAAGGTTTAATGTTTTCGCGCATTTGCACTGATTTAAAGTTTCTTTTTGCTGCAGAATAAAGTCTTGTTCTGCACTTTGAAGACTCAAAAGTTAGAAACTTTGGACATAGTTTTGCACAGTTTAAGTGTTTTCTGGTTGGGGAAACTGTAATCCTCCTGACAGGCATCTCTCAGTCACATATTCTCTTCAGGGAAAACTCATAATCCCTGTTTACCACCAATTATTATCTCAATCGTGTGTATCGCTCCCTTGAGTGCTCAGTCTGTATTGTTGTTGTGCTCCAGCTGCTGCCGATGTACATATCAATGAAGAAAACWWRTGTTTTCTTGGCATGTGCTGCAGGAAAGAAAGCAAGAAATCATTCATTCAGGTTACTCTGATCTGTTTATGTCAGTGGAACTTAAGGGCCCGGGGCCAGATGATTACTCTAAGCCGAGCTGCGAAGTCGGTGGAGTGAGAGAATCGGTAAGTGAGAGCAGCAGAGGAGGACTCGTGACCATTTTGTTTGTGATCAGAGCGTAAGATTGCTCCCTTGTGTTTGACGCTGCGAGAGCCTCGACAGGCTCCCAGCATTCAGCCTAACAAAGATCAGCAAGCTTGTCATCAGTACTTCATTCAGCCGGGCCTTTAATTTGGGCCTGATTCTGTTGTTTTGTAGCTCTTTGGTGACCCACATGATTCACCTTAGCATGGATGATGCAGTTGTCTATTATTGACTGAAAACATGTATGAAGAGAARATTTCAGATACAAATATTTTTATCACCTGCTGCCTGAAAGAAAGGTGGACAATGTGTCTAAAATGCCTCATGAACCACTGGACAGATGTTTATGAAACTTACAGAAAGTAATTATTAGATGTACCTCTAAAACCTGTCAGAAACGGATAGTCGATTGACCTAAAAAAAGGACAAAATAGCTACAAGTCAGTTTTTATAGATATTGTGATGGTTGCTGTGGTTGTGAGCATTATTAAAACAAATTCCAAGTGCAAAATCTTTGCTTAAATATTTGGTAATAAYTGTTGAAATCAACCCTGTTAAAATATCTGGATTGAAACTTAGAAATGTATTTTACGCACATCAACAACAGATTAACTTTTCATTCAAACCAATTTAAGGCGGAAGCAAATTAACTGATATAAGCTTATAGGGTGCCAAGAGTAAAATAAAATGTTAAAAAAATCAATTATTACATTTCTTATTATTTAGCTCACTTTTGAGTGAAAAATACAAAAAAACAACACACAATTTCATTATTTACAGCAGCTCACTGTTCTTACATTTTGATATTTTTACTGAATATAAAAATTAAATGTAAATGTTGAAGTTTACGTTTAAGTATTTCAAATAGGAGCACAGCCTTTGCTGTTGTTGCTCATCTCTTGTTGTGATGTCATCATCCTGCGACAAAAGCAACCGCTAATGCTGCTAACGCTGCAAACGCTACAAGACATCAGACTTTTATCTGCGACCGGAGTCTTTGTTGCATTTCAAACTCCCGGACCACAAGTGCTGGTTGCTTTTGTCGCAGRATGACGACGCCACAACAAAAGCTGCGTGCCAACAGCAAAGACCGCTTTCCATTCCAAATTACTGAAATGTGAGCTTTATAATTTAGCTGCAGCATTTAAGATTTAATTTTGACATTTAGATGTCAAATTTAACAGTTAAATGTAATATTTAGTAAAAAAAAAA